CTCTCACTTCCCGAAGAATGCTGGAAATTTTTTGAGTCTAACAATATTGATGTTACAGCAACAAGAGAGGCTGGAGGTCGCGAGTCCTACATATGGGACGATACTGACATGGCAAACAATGATGGCAGAGACGCGGAAGCCAAAGAAGCATTTGCCTATGTATTCTCGATCAGTGGTGTAAGTTGTTAGCTCCAAAGGGGTGTGTAGCAACAGAATCATCCAGGGCAGCGCTGGTGGGCGTGGCGTGCGACCGCTGCGGCGAGAAGGCGATCATGCGTCTGGCCGTTTTAATGGGGATATTAAAGGGACCGCGGATTGATATCACCCAGGGTCAAGGGCTGTGTACAGTTACAATTGAGTTTCTGCTTTTTCTTTCTTTTTTTTCATAGAGAATGAAAAGTTTCATCAGAACATGAACTCATTAGGGTCTTCAATACTTCTTCTGGTGTGTCATCTTTCAGAGCAGCTCACAGGAGATAGTTGACCATTCATCGATTGAGTGTTAAACGACTGCGCGAATAATGTGAATCACACAAACCACAACACAGGGAGAATAACTGCTTTATCGCTTTTGTGTTTGTATAGTTCCTGAAGTTGTGCCTTGGATCCGCTGAACAATTACTTGTGTGTTACTATCGAGAGAAACATCGTTAGATTTACAGTTATTGATGAAATTTGGTAAACGTTGGGGAAGTACACTCAATATGGTGGTCGGGTGATTCATGGCGGAGAGCAGTCGAACGGGTTTAGGTATGGGTGGGGGTCCTAGCGCTCTTCGAAGGGGGTCACGTTAAAAAAAGCATGACAACCCTCGTAAATGTGCTTGAAAAATAAGTAATCGGCACACTGATAGTGATAAAGAAACCCGAGATGTGCAGAAAGTCAGAGCATGAAACAAATCGATAAATTAGTTGAAAATAAAAACGGAAATTCAGCCAGTCGTTGTAAATGTTGTAAAAATAGATGTATAATATGCAGAAGATTTGTATAGTAGCGGAAGAATAAGGGATCCATGTATATGCACAATCGTGTGCTGTAATAAATCAACTGCCCTAATCGCAAAGCTATCGTCTAGCAAATGCACGTAGAAAAGCCGCTGCGTTATTCGCCGCGCGACGCGCTGCGTGCGACGAGCGGAGCTCCGGACGATTCTGTTGCACGTCTCCCGTTCCATACAACCCATAGAGGTCTCACGAAACAAATGTGTTAGGTCATCAATTCAAAAGTGTGGAGACATACAGGGGTGCCATTGAATGAGCAAGAGGCGTGGACTTCTACGTTGTTTGGAAGCAAATTCAAGTGCCCACTTCATTCGGTTGTCAGAAACTCTTGCTTATACTTCTCATTCGAGTTGTTCGGAGACCATCTTATCACTCTTCGTGTGCCACACTTTCTGATGAACATCCGAAGGTTACGGCTTAATTCTCATCATTTCAGCACAAGGGATCAGGTGATGGTGATGATGCATACAAGAAGTTTGGTGAAGAGGTCATACAACGGATGAAAGACCCACCATTCAGCTGCACTGTTGAGTGTAGTGGCCCGAAATATCAGGTGGTGAGCAGTAAAAATCTTACACACCAGGAAAGGACAAACCCTCTGAAATCTTGAGCGTAAGATTGCTCGGTGCACTGTTGAGTAAGGTTAGGTGACAATTAAAACTGTTAGAGGGAACCTGCAGTGAGAGGTCAAAGCGCAGAGAAATAAAGGGCTGCGGATATCATCGGGAGGTACAGAAAACTGTCGCGAGCTAGGAAATGTTTTTTTTGAAGGAAACAATAACCAAACATAGATGCCGATGAGGGAAAGGACACCGGGGTGTCCTCTCCCTCATCGATGACTGTGTTTGGTTATTGTTTCACATAACCATCAAAGATGTTCTGTTGAACAGCAACGGTTCTTGAGGGTGAAGGATGACCGTTCCACATGCAAAGGGTTAGGAATGACAACTTAAACCAATAGTAACAAAAAACTATCTAACAGCACCATGACCACTTGGGCAGATATCGTTGCGAATTCTGTAAATAGTAAATGAAAACCTTTTACGTTGCGCGTATTTTGGTACACACTGTAAATGCGGGACCAGGCAGAATCTATTGCTTTTCCTTCTTCTCTACCATTGTTTTGAAACGAATGTAAACTTGGTGGAGCAGAGCACACGCTGTTTTCAAGGCTTCAACATATGCCGGACAACTCCACGATGCTTTCTATGCTTACGCGATTGCGGCAAATCGTACTTTGACGTACGGTACTCAGCTTAACGACGGACGAAGTCTGGCAAATCATCTAGCAATGGAATTCCAAGGTAGTTCAAGATGCAGTGATACAGTTGATCAGTAGCATTAGTACCTGCTCGATTCAGGTGTTTCTGGAAAAGTTGTGCTTGGTCCCAATGGCACCCGTTATCCGACGTTCTATTTTGACGGGCTGAATGATCGGTATGAAGTGGAGTCATTTGGTACAATATATGTTGAGAAATTGGCAGCGGTAAGCTTCAGTTCATGCAGAACGTATGTGCTGATTCCTGAGAATGCTGAGTGTTTTTTAACACATTCGAGGCGAAGGGCATTTCGCCCAGAACTCACGTTCGTCGTTGTTTTTGGCTTATTTTTACAATTTTTTTTCTTCGTATTGATGTGTTAATTGTGTAAATGTATGCTAGTAGAATACAATCAGCCGCAAAAAGAAAAAAATATGCGCGTGTTTTCGCAATACTGTACGAATGACCGAAAACAGGGGTTTCCGCGTGTACTCCCGGGAGTACACGCCGCCTCGAACGTGTTAAAGTACTTTATTAGTGCTGAGTTGCAATATTATCTGTATACATATGTAGATAAATTATCCATGCATGAGATATGATAATCGACTGCGCGCTGAGAGAAAAGAGGACATGAGAAAGCGTTGCGTATAATTGTTCGCCGAAAGAGGACCTCAACAAGACCTTCAAAAGTATCACCTTTTTTCAGGGATATCATTCCGAAATTTCGAGTATTGGTCACACATTGATGCTGTTACTCTTTTCGCTTTATTTGAGAAGTACAATTGATGGGAAGCTGCTGCAATGCTACATATAATAGGGCGTCCTATTCAGAAACGTGAAGATGTAGAGGAGTGGCAAGAAAGCGAAGGGGCTAGAACCGTGGGCTTCTCTGCCGTTTTAAAGCGGTACTTTTAGCTACGTGTATGTGAAATTTTGCTGGCCCAACCACAGAAGAGAATCTAGAGGAATTGAAAAAAAACCCGGGTGGTCAAATTCAGCGGAAGATTATAGGATCGTGCGCTTAACAGGAAAAAGCGTTGCTCAAACGTATCCGAGGCCGAACCAGTACAAACGCACATACACTTAGAGTTAACAGACATACTTAGTGGGTTATATATGGAAGTATTATTTTTGCTGCACGGTATACTCGTGCTATGCAGAACAAAAGCTTTCCGCAAGTTCTATTCACTCCGTCGTTTTTTTCGTCGAGCCCCACTACATATAGCAGCTACCTGCTGCGTATTGAGACCGAGTACTGCAATTAATTGTGCTGCCTCATACTTAGAGTAGTGCAACAAAATACATATTTTCATTGTAATGCTAATTGTGACATTTTTTCAGTGAGTTCTTCTCCAAAGCGGGGGAAGATATCGCCGCAGCTGAAGAATAGTGAAAAACGCGGACAACAGAAAGTCATGACAGAACGTCTGTGGTGATTGAGGAGAACCACAGATTGAAGCCTAACACTACGTCGTGAAATGGCTGAAGATGCTTTGGGCGCAGTCAGGGCTTAAACTTGCCTATTAACTCATCTAACCGTCTGGAATTCAGTGAAATTTGAAGCATGGACTCAGTGAATTCGGACAGGCGTGTTGAGCCGGCTCTTCCATCCAGCGGAAGCATCTAAGCGCAGTAAGTGGCTGAGAACGACGACGTGTTTTATGTTGAAGATACAGCTGTGCATTTTAAGTGATCAAAAACCATGTCAGCCAGAACTAGTGCAGTTCTGCATGTCTGCTTGAGTCATGAAGGGAAGCTCACAGGGTAGAGTATCTCAAGGAAAAACTCACAGGCAAGTCACCGGCTTGATTTAGACCTCTCCATCATAGCGGTCAAAAAAAAGGAATGAATGAATCGTTTCGAAGTCCGTGAACGTGGAGCGTTCTGGCCGTTCTTACAAAATAGCAATAGGAACCACAACCAGAACTGTAGCCGACCTCGATTATGGCCTAGCTCAGGCGTAAAGAAAGGCCTCTTGTCAGTGGCAAACGGGGTGTGTAACTTTAGCTAAGCCGGTAATTAGGCTGGCACATCTCGCACCTAGTGTGCCTTGCCAGTGGGGAGCCCTCTCATAATAGACTGACCTCTTGTTATAACGCTCATCTCAAAGCATAACAAGGGACTGAATCAATATTTATTGATGCCAATTTATTAGGCTAATATTAATAATAATTTTGCACAAGATTTACAATTACAGCATGAAAACTACTGCAGCAGCAGGAGAAGCTGAGGCATCTAAGGTACCTGAAAGATGGCTCGCAGATGCGTTGTGTGTCTGCAAAGAGGGGAGGAGTGCAACGGAGGTAGTAGGCGCAGGTTCTGTCGCAGAAGGCATCTGTGGTACTGAAGACGTATAGAGTGAAGGAGTGGCCGCGTGCATTGTGCTGTAGTAAGTGCCTGTAAAAGATCCATATACACTGTATGATGGAGAAGGAATGGGCAGGTGGAAAGTGGATGGTGTGCTGAACGACTGATCAGGTAATTCTGTAGTCGGGGTGTCGATCGTAGAGGCCATGTACAAAAGGTTCATGGAGTTGTGAAGTGTTGCCGTGGAGGGTAAGGGGTTGGGGAGTGTTGACATGATAGGTACTGTACATAGACGCACTAGGTCCTGCTGAGAAGGTATGGCTGAGGAGATCCGAATAGAGAAAGTCGCCGTAATAGCCTGAAATCATGCTGAGACACAAACACGGAAAGGTGCTGTTCAATGCAATTCTTCTGCTTAAATACTTGTTGACACGATTGACCTTCGAAGAGGGTCTGATACAAGGGAATCAAGCAAGGTGTCTAATGATGTGCGAAAGGTCATCTGCTGTTAACTAGTTTGCCTGTAGCTCAGTTCGTAAGTACTTCTGTCATCCATATAGCGTAGAAGGTAAGTTCTTCACATTTTGCAGACCCATTTTCCATTTAAGCGTGTGTTTCTGAACCTATAAGTGACTTCAATTCTCCTAACTCTTGGCTCTTGGATTTCCCTTTTAATCAATAATATTCACTGAGCTGGAAATGCTGGTGAGAGGTCACCAGCCAGCGCAGCCAATTAGGCAAGGTCACCCCACAGGCGATCTCACCGGTGTCCCCACAGGAGGGCGGAAAGGTGCTAAGTGAGGTCAACTTAGCTAAATTGACATTCCTGGCAAACCCATTTCCACATATAATGCTAATGACCCATCGACAGAAGGGTTTAGGTTGAAGAGTATGGCGGCAAACAGCTTGCTTTGAAAGATAACCCGCTCTTGTGCCAACTAGAGGGCAGAAATTCGACGATAGATTTCAGCTCGAAAAAAAATCCTTCATTTCATCGCCTTAGCCGTAATTATGAGAGGGCATAATCAAGAAGCAGTTTGACAGACGAGCACGTGTCCTAGCTATTATATTACTGGCTTTTTTCTTGCGGTTATTGGTTCTTTGTTTGCTTGTAGTTGAGAATATGTCATAACTGCTTGCAGATGAATGAATTTAAATGACCGGCAATCTTTCGGCAAGTCTAGTGCTAACCATGACTGCTTTCACTTGGTGTACTGTAAAAGTTTGAAAACGAAGGCGTTAACCAACCGAAAACTCCTAATGAACATTACTCTTGGATAGAAGTGTCAAAATCTAACTTCAAAGTAGTAGTGTTTCTGGAATGGTGCAATTCTGTCTTTGTGAGGGTGAATTTTTGAAAGCTTTAATTGATGGACTGATTTCAGACTTTCACGCCAACATATAGGAATGAGTCGATATTGTGGTGGAAAAGAGGAGAACGTCCACTTGCAGTGCCAAAATGCGGCTTTACAGGGTTACAGGTAAGTAGCGTGGACCACATGACACCGGACTCCTGAGTTCTCGTCTTCATAGACTTCTTTTCAGTGCCCACTTGATTTTTTCCAAGCTTACAAGGGATGGATTATAGCGGCAGGAGTGACATTTCTCGCCATAATTGCTGCTGCCTTCGCTGGAATGGTGTACTTCATGCGGTATCCAATTAACTACCCTTTGAGCTTCTGTTACGAGATTACAATAATTGGTCTTCTCGAAGTACTCTTCCGCCTATGAGAGTTGGGGGAGTGGTTTCGGGTTTCGACGGGAGTAGCGTTCAGTGAGCCTTGCAGAGACGCTTAGAGGACGAAGTTCTTCGGAAAAGACGCAGCGCGGCGCCCGTCCAGGCATTCTTCCTTGAGCATTTATGCATAGTCGATCTTCAGTGCCCGGCAAGATAACAAAACGTTTCTCGTGGTTAGGACTTGTGAAGAAGGTGTTCAATAGTGAACCAGTAGTCACTGAGTACTGAATAAACAAGAAATAAAAAAAGTCTAACATTGATATCTCCTCACGTGAAGATTCCTTAGAAGCCGCTCAATCGTGTTGGACGAGTTTCCCGGACGTGCGGGCGAGACTGTATCCTGTGACATCTCTGTACCTCTCGCTCCTGAGCTGGTCCTTTACATAGTTCAGTACTAAATGTCATCCAATATCGGGAAAAAACGGAAAAACAACCTAAAAACCAAGCTTATAACAATAAATGCGTAACAGAAAATGGTATTCGAAAACTTCGTGCGAGATTTAAGAATTATTCTAAACAACGCACGTTTGCACTTGAACAATTGATCAATAGAGCAGTGCCAAAAAGGTTCGCGAAGTAGATTGTTCCGAATTGCGGTGATAAAGACGCGGTAATTCACTGAGTTCGTTACTGTTTTAGGCGTAAGTCATATCTTTTACTTTGGAGTGTCTAAGGTTATGCACAATTTGCCACTGTGGTATATCAGATGTGCGGAGGGTGTTCTTGTATTACTTTATAGGTAAAGGCAGCACCGTACAGATCAGCAGTTGATCACCATCGGATCAGCTGTTTTGACACGCTATCTGCGGCTTAATAGCGCTTTTTTCCCTTTTTCAGGATTGCTTCTGGAAAGTAACATCTTGCAGAGTGCGGGGTTTTTTTGTAAACACTACCCGTTTAGAAATTCGGACTTCTTTTACCTTTTTGCCTTTTTCTTTTGACTCTCGTCAACCTTCGATAGCACTTCGCGAACATGTCAAGGACGCCTGTTGGCAATGCCGTCAGGGATGGCACCGTATAAAAAATATATTTTCATATTTCTATGGCAGTCGTCTTAATTTTACACTTCAATTGTTGACCAGTGATGCCTTATCTTAGGTGTAGGCTCGTACAATTCGTGATTGGTGGGGTTGATAAGGGCTTAATTCCCACCGTTTTCAGCAGTTTCGCCCAGATTTTTTTCACTCTCGTACATGTTGTGAATTCACAACCATTCGAATAATATATTCTAGAGATAGCATACAGGACTCAGTGGTAATATGGTATTTCAACTTAGTTACCATAAGCATACGAGTAATCAAATCCCCTTATGATGACAGGCTCACTCATGGTACTACTCAGGCTATGCAGACGTACCTTGACAGTATTCAATGAGTTGCAATCATGTACGTACCTGGACGATTACCCCGTATGTGCGGATGCATTCTTTTATCCCTAAGAACGTGCCGCGATCGAATGGTAGCGCGAAAAGTGCGTCAGTGAGATCCTTCGTCCGCATTTGCAGAGAATGCACCCATTTTCATCAATCGAAACGGCGAGAGAAAGAAGCTATGGACGCCTGATTATTGCAGCCATTGCAGCCACGATTTCTTTCACTCTGCAAGACAACGGCTTACAAGCGGAACTGCCTATGTACATAGAGTCGCCTGGAGCGTCGTATGGTGATTTCCTGTGCTCGTGCTGCTGGGAATCTGGTTGCATCCTCGAATACCTGCTGTATCAGGGCTTGCCGACGTTCGACAAACTTGTGCAAGGCGTCCACTGATAGAGAGTCCCTGTTTAGACTGTTCACGAGGTTTCTTTTGATTCTTCTCCTCTGGGGTTTACTTATGGGCTACAGGTTCACGATAGAGCACCTACCACCCGTAACACTTGATCGCGGGAATTGTCTTTTGGCAGGTACAATAACGATACGGTATCTAGCACCACCTACCCATTTCCTGCTATAACCCTCATTTTGGCTGCTATGTTGTACTGTTAGTTATATTGATAAACACAAAAGTTATATATTCATGTCTACATTCATTTTCTGCACGAAAACCGTTGCTCACTGCCTTTAAAGGGGATACGAGACTGTGTCAGATTGAAAGTACCTCTGCCATTTCAATAAAGAGCTAGTGCAGTATCGGGTGTTGTCAGGCGGATGTCATGATCAGTATTTTGGAGCCAGGTGAAGCTCCATTCTTTTCAGGCAGGTTTTTCTCAATAACTTGACCTATGTACTAATTGACATAAGCTAATTCGACAATGGTGAGGTTTATCTTTACGGAAACACTAAAGCAATTCATCTCGATACTTGATTCACTATTTATAATCGAAATACAAGAACCTCACTCTAATGATGGAAGCTGCGTTTGTGCCCATGTACGCGCGTCCCCGCCCAAGCATAAACAGAGGTCATAAAACGTTTAGTCAAAAACGGGCAAATCAGGGTAGATCCTGCAACTTTATACTGCTAAAAAAGTTAGTCTGGCTCATGATAGCCCGCCGATCGACTGTTACATAAGTGTTTCCAGGGCGAAAAAGGGAAGAAAAGAGCGCTGATAAGATGTGCAAATCCCCTTCAGTGCGCTGCGAAGCAGTCGCGAAAGTACAGTTTCATAAATACTTGATGACTCTTGTAACCCGTTTCGTTTTCACTTCAACTTGGAACTCTGGATTTTTCAAAACTGAAGTTTTTACAATCTAAAGCAAATAAGAAAACAAAATTATGAAGGAAGTAGTTTTGTATTTTTGATTATGTGCGGGTGTTATTATGATTATCTGCCCACATGATGTGTGGTCTAGCATCAAGCTGGCAGGATAACAGCGGATGGGGCACAGGAGGAACACAAAACTTTCAGATGAGAATAAATCAAGAAATAAGGATAGGCCGATATCCAGCTTCGTTCAACTTCAGTTACAAGGTTCCCTTTCTGTGACTTTACTTCATAGTCTGGATTCTAGGCAGAAAAGTGTGAATTAGTTGTTCTATGCTGTTGATTTGTGTTAGCTGTGGGACGGCTCATGGTGTTTTTATAGTAATTATTTGAACAGAGTGATCACTAAACTAAATTTCTGCCCCGTCAGACCAGTGTTAGGTGGGACGCCAATAGCTGCGATGGTTCATTTCATGGGGTATTTTCTGATGAAAAAATTTGATAAAAAATGATACTTGGTAAAAAAATTGAAGGGTGCATGTCTCTCGAGCAAGTATGTTTCACTTCTTGGCTTGAAATAAGAAGAAGTGGCCTGAATCTCACGGTTGCTCTCACGGTTCATTTGATGATCACTGGCCTTGACAGTTCAGCCTTTCACACCGTCGGCTGATGACCTGTTGAATTCATATGTGCTTGCCCGTAACAATACTACAAATGAGCTTTACTTTTAAAGCAGAACTTCCTCAGTAGCACCTTCAGTAAAGGGTGAATCTCGGAACTTCATGTACTTCTTTCATGACGTAGGTTTTGAACGCATAGTTCACATTTTTTGAAACTACTCCTCGAAGTGCTTGTCGTCCCTAGGTGACGACAAGATGATGGCATAGGTGGAGGGCACCTGGGTCACGCGAGAGCGCTGGGTCACAGAGGCCTGAACTCTTCTACAGGAAAGGGGGAGTCGCGCCGGTAAATATTTTCAAAAGACCTGCCGCGGGCTGTCTATGGCTTACCCATTGCAATGTGGGCCAACTAGAGTGCCTACAACCACGCGCTGAGACCAAAATGAAAGGACACCAATTCCAATGAATTGTCTTCATAAGACGAGGGTTAAATAAAGACAGCCAACAAATAAACATGGTCCGAGTAAACAAAACATGGAGCAAACAATGCATTGCAACACAGCAGCGATATTTAATAAAGAAATATAGTTGAAAGTGTACCCGAAGACTAAAGAAGACGAGGAATTATGTGTATAGAAAAAGGGGTGCAACCGGTCAGAAGTGACAGAGGAAGACCCGAGAACACAAATTGTGATTTGTGTGGAATGATATAGCGCTCGGTGCAGCGATGAACGCTCAATGCGTGCGCAGAACGACGAGTGACTCTGAACTACGAAAATGGGGCTACTGGAGTTGCAGTTTCATAATAAGACAACGCCTTTTATAATAAGACTGACAGCATTTGCAACCAGAGCATGGCTTCCTACCGGCGCGCCATTAACCTCACGGTCGTGGGCAAGTCACGACAAATTAACATTCTATTTGAAATACATCCCGTTTATCAACATTGTAATCTCCTTGGTGAAAATAATAGCGCTGCTGAAGCCATTTTTGAAGAAAACGCAGCCGTTTTGCTTTCACGCCTTCCATAACTCTCCCTACCACGCTTTTTACCCTATCAGTGCAGTGAAATCTCATACAACGGCTTGTCAGTCTACCGAGCTCCCATTCTCACGTACATCAAGTATAAGGCTTATAACCTTCAATTTCTTTAGGGAGAGACGATTGCCGCCCACAAACATGAACTACGTCTGCGGATTGAACCGAAAGACAAGAATCATTTCCGAATGGTGAGCATTGAAAAACTGCAGACTTAGTTGTTACCACCTCCTAATAATGGAAATACGCGCTAGTAACTTTGAGGGTGGGGCTTAAAAGAATTTTTTCGTGCAAAACTAGGACCAATGCCAGTAAGGCCGTTTTAGGGGAAATATACTAGACCAATTCCAGCAAGGCCTTTCGAGGGGAACCAATTTTAGGAATCACTATTTTGTTTTGAGATACTGGTAGCTGTTGCAACTGATCAAGAACGATAAAGATCATGACTGATTAGACTGAATTGGAAGAACTCTAGCCACTCAGGTCCTTGACAGCGGCGATTAGTCGAAACGTCTGACATTAAACAACTCCATCATAACAATCTTGTAAAGCATAAGGGAACAATCAGTAAACTTAGTGCCAAGGCTTCAAGGAAACCGATTTCAAGACTAGGGTACGTCACCCGCATTGAATTTCCGTGCTCGAAATTTGTTCACACACCCTAGAGCTCACTACCCAATTCACGTTGAGAGCGAACCATCTCCTTTATAGTAACTCTTCTTCGCAAAAGGTATCCTTCATATGCTTTTTTCAAGGTCACTGCTCCAAAGAAGCGTTTATTATCCAGCCTACCGTAATTGATTCCAGCTTGATTTCAGCTCCGGGAGTTTGACCACGAAAACATGAACCGCTTCATAGGTTTGTGTTTGGACGGACCACATGCTTTCATTGTGGAAGTACTGCTCTCGTGGAAGCATCGATGATGTCATCGAGAAGAATTCATGCAAAATGGATGGATTTTTTGTGTTTTTATTGCTAAAAGATATAGTTCACGTGAGCACACAGTTATATCATTCTGACTTGATTTTGGAATTTTTTCGAATCAGAAACACGGGAGGTGCACATGTGAGAGGAGGTGAATGGCGCTTGGCTGATCAGGATAAGGTCGCATTAATACTTCGCGATTCAACCGCCCGTAAGGTAGCGTTCAGACTTCACGACGACAGCGCTTCAGCCGCGCGTTAACGCTGTCGAACGCGCGACCGGGCGCTGCTGCCGTCACGCGCGCCGCCAAGGGCCTCTGGAGGGTCGACCGGGAGTTTTGTAATCCATTTTCACTATTTGTGCTGTTTGGCGGTAAGGTGCTCGTCATCGTAATCGCTTGACACGCATGTCAGTCAGTCATAGCGCGCTCCCAACCACCATACCCTACGATTTGGAGATTTTATCGACTATTTCTCGGAAGCTGACTACAGTCTTGCTGGCAGCGGATACTGAGGCACGTCGGAGGGCTGGGTTTGGCGGTCCGTCTTCCCAGATATTTGTCGCTTGTCCACCTCAATAGTTGATGGATAACGGACTGGCACCGCGCCAAACCCAGGGCGCCCAGCATGCAGCGAGCAAGACTGTAGTCGAGAACGTGAACGCTCGCGTATGTGGGAGACTTCTGCCGGGCATTTCCCGTGAAGGGTAGTCTTTCTCACCTGACATGAATATCGCAACCAATTTGCCGCATTGAGTTGTATTGATGACAATTTCCATACCGGATAATGCACCGCCGCCACCTGCTACCCACCTTTTCTCCTGAGACTTACAAGTTAGTCTTGAGTAAAAATATTATTGTAGTAGTAGCTGATATAAAAGTAATGTTCTTCAACTAAACTGAGGCAATACCTGAAGAATTGCAGGCGCTTTGTTTCATACACCGATCGGCCCTTCACTTACACGGGTTTCTGACTTCCAAATGCTGTCTGGTCGATGAGCGTTGGGTGGTGAAGATATCGGACTTCGGCTTGGACCGATGGCGACTCGGAGACAAACCTATTCAAAAAGGTTGTTCATATACTTGCGTGTAAACACTGCACTGTAGGCGTGCGAACAAACTCTGTAGAAATTGGCTGAGATAAAAATACAATTTTTATAGTTGCAGTCAGTCGGGTCAGTTTCACGGAGGGGTGGACTCACCCCACCTGCTGCGATTCTTCCATAGTTATCCCCCCCCTTTTAATTAATCACTAAATGATCACCATTGGTTGAGAAAGGCAGCGCGAGGCAAGCTCATTCCGTCTTCTTCTTTCTGCTCCCGACTGATTGCAATGTTGCAGACTATAATTCGAATCGTGAACATTGCTGTAGGACTGTCGGCATGGCCTGCTCCCTTTGCAAATGGAGTACAGGCCACAATAAATTCTACGCTTAAATCTTGGAAATGTTGTGCAGCACTCACTCGCCTCACCAGAGTGAGACTTTGTAAACCGGAATTAGTGAAACAGAGGAACTGCGAAACCCTCCCGTCGCCCGGTGGAAGTGTTCTCGTGAATGGTGTGGCAGACTTGGTCGTCAAAACTTTTCACCTCAAACAGTTGTTATACCTTTCTGTCACCGATCGTTGATACTACCCCTCTCCCTTCCCCTACACACTATGTCAAGATAGATGAATAATAGCTCCACTGGTGCTGTGACGTTTATTGACTCTGCCCTTCGGATGCCCCTCACCAGCTGGCAATTCTTCCTATCACACACCGAGAAATGTTCCCGTCATAGTCGCAATACTACTTCCTCAAGTCAACGTCTCACTGCTACTGGGGCGAGCTACGGATTTCCTGATTATACAGGCATATGTATTTACTGTCCTACTATATATAATCCGCTATGTGTGTCTGTGTGTCTGTGTGTGTGTGTGTGTGTGTGTGTGTGTGTGTGTGTGTGTGTGTGTCACGAAATTCATAGCGAGCGTCGCAGAAAAGATAGGATGACAGTTCCAAGAAGTGATATACATGGCAGGACGGGAACACTTTTGGTGGGTGTCAGGAGGTGATAACACTTGATAAGATACGATAAGGGGCCGTAGAAGGGAGGATGACTGAAATCGTAGCGCAATGTTGCAGGCAGGTTAAGGGACCGTTGATTTCAAGAAGTGATATACGATCGCAGGACGGGAACACCTTTTAGTGTGCGTGACAGGAGCTGCACTGATAGCATTTCGATAAATTGCCTTAGAAGGGGGGGGGGGGGGGTGACCAACATCTAGCGCAAGTTGCAGCAGCTGCGGGACCGTGATTTCAAGGAGTGATATACATGGCAGGACGGGAACACTTTTGGTGCGTGACAGGGTGATAACACTTGATAAGATTCGATAAGGGGCCTTAAAAGGGGAGGGTGACCGAATTCGTGGCAAGTTGCAGCAACGGCGGGACCATGATTTCAAGTACTGATATGCCGCAGGCAGAAGCTGATACAGTTGATAAGATCCGATAAGGGGCCTCGGAAGAGGAGGGTCATCAAATTCGTGGCGCAGGTTACAGCAACAGTGGGAACTCAGATCCGTGAGGTGATATAGGGTGTGGGACGGGAACATTATTGGCGGGCGACAGAAAGTGATAACAGTTGATAAGATACGGTAAGCGGCCTCGGAAGGGAGGGTCATCAGATTCGTAACGCAGGTACAGCAACAGTGGGACCTCTGATCCGAGAGGCGATACAGGGTGATATGATAGTGATACGGGACGGGAGTGTTATTGGCGGGTACGGAAGTGATAGGAGCTAAAATTGACAAGGTAGCATGGGAAAATCCGCTTCACCGCTCACAACAACAATGCGATCGATATGACTCAAGTATAACGATCTCAGTGATTCCAACAGAACTCATTCCTCACTGCTTATTAGTAACGACACATGTGGTTTGTTTACAGAGATGTAGACAGAGATGTTATGAGCAGCAGCAACTGACTTTATCACTCTTACCACAATTATCTTCCATCAGCAACTTCGGTGAGGGCCATTTAAAGGGTTCCACTGCTGAATGCGGTAGTGCATTCCAAAGCAAGACGCTTTAGGAAGACAGATTGCATAAATTATAGGCTGCTTCAGTGGCTGTCCAAACAGGCTGCACTATTTCCGTGTAGGTTATGAACGTACCAGTCGGATCGCTGGCTAAGGCCGGCTTTCCTCCTTCTGTGATGCGGGGGGGGGCGCTGCTGCTGCTTCTGCGCCTTGACGGAACAAGCGCTGCTTTTCAGTTCTTGGCTGATGCAGAAGATTCCTTTGAACAGTGTGGTTGGTCAACGATCCTTAACTTAGCACGCGGCAAATCCGCATGGCCCGGCTTCGCCGGGCCATGTCACAGAAGGAGGAGCGCCCGGCGACAGCCGGGCGATCCGACTGGTATTATATAAAGTGGGATGCTCATGCTATCTGCTATCTCTCAAGAGGTGGTCAACTTCAAACTCATTATCCTCCCTTTCTTTCAGATTTACTATGGAGCGCTCCGGAACACATTCGAAATGGCAACATCGAAGGGTCACAAGAGGGTGACATATACAGGTACGTGCTTCTCCTAAGGCGATTCAGTTTTCTCCAAAAGGTGCGAAAATATCGCAAATTACTCTTTAGCTTCTCCCCATTGCAACTTTGGCCTGAAGGCAATGGGTAGGATAAATCGTTTAGGCTTACAAGGTGAGCAGGCCTAGATAAGCGCGCCGCGCCTATTCTCGGGAATGCCTACATGGTTACAAATAGTCGAACTGGTCAAGTGATCACGGTCGCATAAACTGTTTTCTCTGTTATCTGCTGCTGAATTGCACTTTCATCTTTCTTGGACTCCTTCTGGAGAAGCCCGTTCTAGTTGATGGAGAAAAGGCTCTTATTTGGCAAGATCTTCTTTGAATAGTGTCTTCCGAACACGGAGTAACAACAGAAGCGTTCACTAATACTAGAAGCGAAAATGCCTTCCACTTCTACAAACGCTAGTCTGTTCTATTTATTGCCGTCGACTACTCATATGAAGCACTTATGAGTCAGAATTCTGTGTTGTTTTACATCAACAGTACAAAGGATGATGCTGAAACATGAGCGCTCCTTGGGCACCACATGGAAACTAACAGCAACAACAGTGCTACCGATAGTATTTCTTATAAGAACTCCACAGGTAAAGCCAGTCCTGCGATGAGCGTGCAGCAGGGGTACACATCGTTCTGCTGAACAAAATAGGCGCTCCACCCACACTTCACTCTGGGGAGGGGATCGTATTTGATTCGTTGCGAGAGAGGAGGGGTCGTTTGTGCCTTCGAGAGAACTTTTATTCGCGTTGGTTTTCCGTTTTGATGACTCTTTGCGTTGGTATTTTCCTGTCATTACTAGATCTCACGCCTCCATTTCTTCGCTCGACGGAAAATTTTTAGGTGAAAAAAAACTGGAAACTGCGGGAAGTTATTAAGTAGGCGTTAAGGGAAGGGGGGTGGGTCGTACAGAGGCCATGCATTTTATAGCGGGGGTCATCCCTACGCCACCACCTCACACATCACGATGCTTTACCCTGGCTGCAAGTATAGTGCAATTAAGTAATAATGTGCTCAGTTCTCAGCTGTTAAATCGCATTATTTATAGTTATACGCGTGGAGTTGTTTGGTCTCACTCTACGCAATTTATGAAACGGGAATTAGGCTGACGCATAGTACAGTCCTCTTAATTGTGGGGTGTCAGCCAGAAGGAGTGCGCACACTGTTGAAGCCGTTCTCAGCCTTTTGTTGCAACGCGTATGCGACAAAAAGTGGTAGAAAACGAGTAATACGAAGGATATTATACAGTAATGCACTTGCCCGCTTCAAAAACTGGTGCAGAACGACTTTGCCAAACCGCACCAAACGCAGCCGCACTGCCACGCCCCACCGGTCCGCAATGATGAGGACTGTAGTTATAGTTATCTCAACATGCTAGACAATTGTTATTCAGCTTTGGTATCATTAGCGCACAGCTGGTTACAAAAACAAGAGCATGGGATCTGGAGAACAGGAAAGAAGACCCTGAAGGTAAGCGGAAATGCTAGCGTGTGAACAGCCGAACCAAATGGTGTTGAGAGACTTCGCTTGTGCGTAGTACAAGGACCGTAGTCAATTGCCAGAAACTGGATATACAAATGGTCAGCTGTCGATAAATGAGAGGGAAATGTTGTGTTTGAGTGAAGTATGGAGTGACCAGTGTCATGGTCATAATACTCAAGTTCGTCAGCGAAACAGCACCTATAAACCCTCCCCCCCCTCCTTGGAGCACCACTAAGAAAGACTGAGACGAGGAGGAGAGGCGACGAGACTATAGTCATTATCCCTGCCAACGAGGGGGCAGGGATAATGACTATAGTCTCGTGAGCGTGCAGTCTGAACCTCTCCCACTAACCTAAGTGGTGTAGAGATAGGTACCGTGGTCCCTCGCCTGTCCTCGTCATCTCGATTACACTCAATGGCCTAAGCACCTGATGTAGTAACTCCTTCGCGAAGAAATGTGGGCTAGAGTGGTAACAAATCAAAACAATTTAATCTTAAGGGTTCCTCGTCGAAGTATCATAGGAAGACACTTCAGGTAGTCAGAAAACCTTTGCCAGAACCTTGGGACCCATTTTGGGTCCAATTCCGAGATACCATGAGCGCAATGTGAAATGCTAGG